TGTGGGAGCACTTCGGCTTTAAAAATAAGAAGGAAAGCGACAATTTAGATAAAACTATGGCGGTTTGCAAGCTGTGTCACACAAACATGAAATACTCTGGAAATACCACTAACCTACGAACCCACCTACAACGTCACCACCCGGACAAGGTAATGCTAACTGAGGAACTCAAGAAGCTGCTGCCGCGGGGTGACTCAAAACAAACCGTGCCGGACAGCGATGGCGCTAACGGCCACACTGAATCCCTGGGTTTTCGTCTTTTTAACTCCCCTTCACACCCTCTTATTTTGGGCTACCCATGGCTGGTAAAACACAATCCCCACATGGACTGGTCCACCGGGAGAGTTTTGGGTTGGCATAAGGATTGTTTGGCCACATGTTTCCCTTCTGCCCCGGCTCCAGAGAGACCTCTGCCCTCCACCCATGTGACTGTTGCCCTGACTACTGCTGTCTCTACCACTCTCCAAGCTGCAGCAGACTCTGATTTTCCGGATCTTAGCAGGGTGCCCACCTGTTACCTGGACCTGAAAGTGGTTTTCAATAAGACTTGTGCTTCCACCCTGCCCACCCATCGACTCTATGACTGTTCCATTGACTTGTTCCCTGGGACCTCTCCCTCTAAGGGACATCTATACTCCCTGTCAGGCCCGAGAGGGAAACAATGAAAGATACATTGACCCCTCCCTTGCTGCCGGGATAATTTGGCCTCCCTCCTCTCCGGCTGGAGCAGGCTTCTTCTTCGTTGACAAGAAGGATAAGACTCTTCATCCATATGTTGACTACAGAGGGATACATGACATCACCATAAAGGACAGGTACCCCCTTCCTCTTATCTCTTCGGCATTTGAACTATTACAGGATGCAAAGATCTTTACTAAACTTGATCTTCGAAATGCATATCATTTGGTAAGGATAAGGGAGGGGGATGAATGGAAGACTGCTTTCAACACCCCTTGTGGTCATTAAGAATACCTCGTAATGCCATTTGGGTTAACCAATGCTCCAGCTGTTTTCCAGGCTCTGGTTAATGATGTTCTCCATGACATGCTCAACCAGTTTGTTTTTGTCTACCTCAACGACATTCTCATCTTTTCTCCGGATGAGACGACCCACATTAAACGTGTCCGCTAGGTGTTGCAGCCTCTCTTGGAAAATCTACTATTTGTGAAGGCAGAGAAGTGCGAGTTCCACATCCCCCGTCTTTTACCTGGGATTTGTCATATCGGAGAACAGCATTCAGATGGACCCATCAAAGGTCAGTGCAGTCACTGAGTGGCCTACATCTTGGGGCAGCCATCTCTCAAAGATCGAAGAGAGACAACAAGCTCCACCTCTGTGCTTTCCTGTCTCACAAACTCTCCCCAGCCGAGAGAAACTATGATCAATGAATCAATCAATCAATGTTTATTTATATAGCCCAATATCACAAATGTTACATTTGTCTCAGTGGACTTCACAGTTTGTACAGAATATCAGTATGACAATACGACACCCTCTGTCCTTATTGATGTGATATGGGTAACAGGGAGCTCTTGGACATTAAGGTGGCTTTGGAGGAGTGGCGCCACTGGCTGGAGGGAGCCAAGCACCCTTTCCTAGTCTGGACCGATCATAAGAACCTTCAGTACATCAGATCTGCAAAATTCCTCAACTCTAGACAAGCCAGGTGGGCCCTATTCTTTACCCGATTCAACTTCACTCTGTCATACCGTCCCGGTTCTAAGAACGCTAAAGCTGATGCTCTATCCCGCCTGTTTGATTACGATCCAGCTCCTGGCACTCCCTCGCTAATCATTCCTCCCTCTTGTGTAGTGGGGGCAGTCACATGGGACATTGAGGAGAGGGTCATGCAGGCGAGTGCTAATGTTTTGGTTCCCTTCGGTTGCCCACAGAACCGGTTGTTTATTCCTGACCCCCTTCTCTCTCAGGTCATCCACTGGGCACATACTTCCCTCTTCTCCTGCCATCCTGGCGTTCGCCGCACCATGTTCTTCATTAAGCAGCGGTTCTGGTGGCCCTCCATGGAGTGGTCGGTCGAGGACTACGTGGCAGCCTGTTCAGTCTGTGCCCGGAACAAGACTTCCCGTCAGCCCCCTTCTGGTCTTCTGCGCCCGCTTCCAGTGCCACATCGCCCCTGGTCTGACATCTCGTTGGACTTCGTCACAGGGTTGCCGCCGTCTCAAGGTAACACCACTATTTTGACAATTGTGGATAGATCTTCGAAGATGGTCCACTTTCTCCCGCTGCCTAAATTTCCATCTGCCAGAGAGACAGCAGAGGCAGTGTTGTTCCATGTTTTCCGTCTCCATGGTTTCCCTAGGGATGTTGTGTCAGACCGGGGCCCACAGTTTACCTCACAGTTTTGGAAGGCTTTCTGCTCACTCATCGGTGCCACAGTCAGCCTCTCTTCTGGATATCATCCGCAGTCTAACGGCCAGACGGAGCGGCTGAATCAGGAGCTTGAGACCTGTCTACGCTGCCTGGTGTCTCAGAACCCTGCCACGTGGAGCACGCATCTTATTTGGGTGGAGTACGCACACAACACTTTGCCTAGTTCTGCTACTGGTCTCTCACCTTTTCAGTGTGCCTATGGATACCAACCGCCGTTGTTCCCCGACCTGGAGAAGGAGGTCAATGTTCCATCTGCCCATGCCCTCATTCGCCGATGTCATCGCACCTGGAGCCGGGCCCGCCAGGTGTTACTACGGAGTTCAGCCCGTTATAAAAGGATGGCCGATCGCCGACGTATCTCTGCTCCTGCCTACCAACCTGGACAAAGTGTGTGGCTCTCTACTCGAGACCTGCCCCTTCGAGTGGAGTCTCGCAAACTGGCTCCTTGTTTTGTGGGTCCCTTCCCGGTATCCAAGGTCATCAATCCTGTGGCAGTGCGGCTTCGACTACCTCGATCCTTGAGGGCCTATCCTACATTTCATGTGTCACGCATCAAACCGGTTAAAGTGAGTCCACTGGTTTCATTGTGGTTTCTCTCATTTCAGTCTCAGCTTTCCTGCCCTTGATTGAACTCCACCTGCTTCCCATCCCTAATTAGCCTCACCTGTGCCCCATTATCATCTCTCCCTCTGCCTACTTAGTGTGCATCCACATTCCCTTCAGTGCCAGTTCGTCTTAGTTTATTCCTAGCGTTCCAGCAGTGTTTTTCTTAGTATCTGATTCCACGTGTACCTGACCCAGCTTCGTGTCCTGACCCGGTCCCTGTCTACTCCTCATCTGTTTTGTTAGCCTTACTGATCTCCCGTGTACCGAACCTTGGATATAAAGACCTTTTTTGCATCCTAATCCTCTGTCTCTGAGTCTTGCTATTGAGTCCTCCACTTGTGTTCATTCAGTCGTTACAACAATATGACATGGATAATCAATATGCCAATATTGAGGGTGCACAACTGTGCCAAAGGCACATACAACCACGAGACACTACATGGTAAACTGACTGAAGTTAATATACACTCAATGTAATCCACAAGTTTTTTATCAAAGCACATTTTACTTTACAATATATACCACCTTTTCGACAATATTGTCAATTACATTTGAGCTACAACGCTTTTTAATGAATGCTGCTGACAGCCACTTGTATTCCATAACTGCAGCTATTGTAACTTTCCAACCTGGCACATGATGGTGGATCTTGTGACGATGTGAAACTATCAAATGTACATAAGTACATCAAATTTGATATATTTTACTTTACTTGAATAATTCAACAAATGTTTTGGTGTGGCAGAACTTTATCAATTGTATCCCTCAACTAACCCCTCAAATGTACATTGTGACCACTAAACCAAAGAATCTTACTTTATAAAGAATGTAATCTACCTACAAAAACGTAATGCTGCTAAGGAACTGATGCATTAGTATAAAAAATAGTAACATACTGCATATTAATGACCTATCTGTCCTGGGAGAGGTTTATTCAGACTCATGTTTTACCAACCTTTGTTCATAAAAGGTTTTTTTTCGTAGTTCCCATGGATGTTTTAGACAAGATCTATGATTTTTAAAATGATAATTTAGGTTAAAAATGGGGCAATTCATAACATAAGTAAATATATGATATTTTCTTACACTTCATTTCATTTGGGAGTGCAATGTGATAATGTTATATTATATTCTGTCAGAAAGTTGTTATGTATTTCAACAAATACAACACCAAGTCCTGACTTTGGACTAAAAGCTAATTGCTCAAATCTTTTTGACTGACCAACACTGTCATCTAGTGGCAAATATGAGAAGAAGTAGGGATGCTGATGAAATTTGAGCATGTTTATTTATGAACACCAATTGAGTACAAAATACATGTTAGCCACAATTAAAGCAGCTAAAATTAATATTTTTAAATTAACAATGGATAACTTGACTACTTGTATCTGAAATGTGTTATTTGTAGAGAGGAACCCAGGAGTTATCATCCAGTTCTGCATGTTTAAACATATAATGTGATTTATTTTACCAGCTCATAACATTTTGATCATTGAGGACAGAACAACAATTCGACAAAACAAAATAATGTATTATTTTGAAACCCAGAGGCAATTTTTGGTTACAGTCATTACAAACAACTGATGTGCATTTTACACACACTGTACACTACCACTATCAACTATCACTTAAACTACACTACTTCAATACTCCATCTACTACTTACAAAACTACTGCTTCTAGTTTAAATAAGACTAAAGCAGGAAAAAACAACGTCATACATTTACATACAATACATCTGCATTGGAAGCACCATTTGTTGCATTATACAACATATATTAATTATAATATCTTGTGAGGGTTACTCCACAGGCTCAGTCTCCATGTGCCTCTCTGAAGCCTGGAAGAGGCCTCATCACTGGACCATAAAAGCTGGTCACATTTGCAAGGATTTATGCCAAAAAAAAAAATCTCAGTTGAGCATCATTACATGGGCCAAACACTTTTTTTCCTTGATTGTCTAGTCCTGTTTCAGGGAAGTTGCATCATTATATTACAAAACGACAGAGAAAAACAGTTCTTATGTTGATAAAGAGGAATCTTAATCTTAGAAGGGGACGGGTCCGTAGTAGGCGACGTATGCGGCGACGATGCCTGCGGTTTCAGCCATCTCGTCACAGCCGTCGTGCAGCTCACAAACCTCCCAAAGACTGTACGGCAGAGGGGAGAAAAACATTCAAAGTGCTGTAAAATGTACTTATGTCTATTATAAGTACTTAGATTCCTTATTTTAAATCAGAGCTTTTTTTTACACTAGATAAAAACTACAATGATTATTTAACTTTTGTTAGGAGTGTCCACAAATGATTTATGTTGACTACCGGACAATTTAATTAAAGTACATTTCCAAGTTCAAGGCTTTTATTAGTCATACGTACATAGCTACGGTGTAGTTATGACGATGAACATCTTAGGTCACAGGCTCCACCATAAGTGTAACACAATAAAACAGAAAAAAAAAGCGAAATAATCCCCGTACAGAGTATATTGTTGCATAGTAAGTCAGTCATTTCCACATAGAGTAAATAACTGTACCTCTCGAGCTGCAGAGGGGAGAGGTCTCCTGCTGGGGCGGCTCTTCTTCTCCTCAGGAGAACAGCAGCCAGGTCTCTTGTCATGACCACCTCGGGCGCTGTAGGGACAAACCTTACAAGCTCAAACCTTCTTGAATTTCCTTGTAATACAGACACACTTTAAGTCATTTTAAACCATGCAAAGATTATTTCCAAAAACGTTGCCTACCCTCAGTACTGGCTGACTCTGAGGAAGATGAGGAGGAAGAAGAAGAAGAAGAATCGGAGGCAGAAGAGTTGGATGCTGAGGAGTCAGACTCAGAGGACTCAGAGGATGATTCAGAAGATTCAGAGGAGGAGGAGGAGGAGGAGGACGAGTTAGAGTTGGAGTCAGATGCAGAGAAAGAATCAGACTCGGAGGAGGAGGAAGAGTCTGGAGCAGCAGCAGCCGTGGGGTCAACAGCTTCGTCAGCAGGTACAGCTTCAGCAACTATGTCGTCTACAGGGTCCTCGACAACCTCAGGTTCAACAGCTGTGTCGTCTACAGGGTCCAAGACAACCTCAGGTTCAACAGCTGTGGAGCACAGAAATAACACTTGATACACACTCTGTATAGGCTTACATTATTTCATAAAACAAAAACAACAGGAATCACAGCAATGATGAGAGGAGTCAGCCTTACCTCCCATGGACCAGCACACAGACAGAACAGCACAGATGGAGAGGAGAGTCAGAGTCTTCATGATGCCTTGAAGTTAGTTTCACGCTGTAGACACGCTGATTTATTGGTTGCCTGCTTTTCTCAACCTTCCTTCGATGGCTTGCTGTTTCTTTCGCCCAATTCCAGGTCAATATATACTGTAGTCCACCTCCTTTAGTCAAGCCAGAGATGACCTTCTGATTGGCTGGGGAGTCAAGTGTCAACATTTCCGCTTCCACTTCTCATACAGTAAAAGCTCCCGTAACACCCACGCATCCCTGGCACTTGGTTAAAAAACTCCTTCACCCGCACACAGACTTACACAGCCACAAAAATTCCTGGCAGTCATCTGTATGTACGGAGCATATGCAGTGTGTTGACCTATATCTACTGTACTGTATGCATGTTTCCTTTACATTAAATTAGAGACAAATCAAGGCAAAACAAGGGAAAACATGAGAAAAGACCTGTGGGAAAAAAAAATTCTTTAGGGGATTCCCTTTCCCGATGATTCACATTGAAATACACACTCTATATTTGATATATATTTCTACCTTTTAATTCCAATTCACTCTTTTGAACCCAATGTAAATGACAACTTATATTACTGAATTTACACAGTTTCTCTCTCTGGCTCTTGGGTTATCCAAAAATTACTTTTTGTCATATTTCTTCCAACAAAAATGCCATTGTTTCCCTGTCAAACCAACTCTTTTTCATATATATGTTAACAAAACTTGTATATCATCTTTCAATCCTCACCCCTCACCACTGGAGTACAAATAGTACAACACAAGTTTCATACAAATATGAAACTCCAAACCAGTGGTGTTACTGATTTCTGAAAAATCTCTGAAAAATACCCTTCAAATGTAAATGGGATTTTAATCAGGGAGAGACTGTTGGAGGTTTGACTGTTAACATGAACTTTGCCAGTTCTGCCAGTGCTGTTATGTTGCTTCGCTCTTTGCCCCAGATGTGATCGGCCACCCCCACAAACCCCAAACTATAGCCCGAGCTGACCACAAGCTACTAATCGAGTGACATGGAACAGCAGTGAGCCTCATTATGCGACAGAGCTTGATTACAGTGTTGCAGAGATCCACCAGAACCGCAGTTAGTCGCTATATACAGAACCATCTCGGAGCAACTCCTGGCCAGATTCAGGCACGGCCATGGCTTACCAACGCGTGGCCCAATACAAAGCCCCACTTGATGTATTTCAGCGGATATAAATATAAGCAGCCCCCATGTGTTGGATGCAGCTCTATGCATGCGGCTTTGGATGCAGCTTTCTGTTGTGCCATACCGTTTAAGTGTGCCTTCTGCTGCGGTTCAAGACAAGTTGGCATTTGGAGTTTGCAGCTTGGTCCTATAAACCCTATTGCAACTTAAATACTGTCTAGATAACCCAAAGTGTTTGCACACATATCACTTCATGTGTATATATATCTCAGAGGGCCCCCAAACAGCTCCATTTGTCATTCAGTGAGAACTTCAGTGCTGCTGCAGGGTGACCCTGGTGTCCTTCGTGTCAGTGTTATTCCTGGTGTCTTGGATTTATCTTGGACCTTGTGCTGTGTAATTTCAATGTCTGCTCCAGTGTCCATTTTTGTGGGAGAGAGGCAGTCGGAGAAAACAACTGCCAAAGCATCCCTGAATAGACAGGAAATACTGTTAATCTGGTGCATTTCTGCATTTGTGTTGTTCCCTTGGCTTTGAAATCATTTGATATGGACAATAAAAGATGGCAGCTTTATCTTATTCTTGTTCTGGGTTTACACAGTTCCTGTTTGTCCAGGGTAAACTGGAAAACTGAGGTGCACAGGTGAACATGATGGACAGTTGAAATGCAAAATGCACTTTTAGATGTCTTTTATATATAAATATGTGTCCCCGGTGTGCCAGGGAACTCACAAAGTGTCAGAAAACCAAACCCTCTCTCTTTTCCTCCTTACCCAAATCTCTAAAAACGGGGGTACAACGGAGCTGATCCAGATTTGCGTCCGATATGACGTAATATCGGAAATATGGGCTGGCTATACACCCACAGCCCTATCAAAAACGTTGCTGTCAGAAAGAAATGGCCGACTGTTTCTCAATGTTGAGGACGCTTCCTTGGTCATGTCCCTCCGAGTCAGGTCCTTCAGAAGCGAGGCAAAAATCCTTCCTAGCCTCGGAAAATGAAGAATGGTGGAACAGGCTAACACTAGTGCAGGTGTGCGTCTTATGCGAGGCCTCGCCTTAAATGGAACGCGATTTCCGCCAAAGATTTTGGAAATTGGTCCGTGCGCCAAGCATTGTGGGGATTTTAAGACTGCGGAGGATACACATGAGCAGCCTCAACATTTCCCGCAACGAAGGACGCCGGCCTCTGTAGAATTTCAAGCATCCTGGACATTGGAACAGTCCTTCGGCGGGTCTCGATGACGTAGCATCCTTGAACCACCCTCAGTTTACATTAGCAAGCATCGCTAACACTCAGAGCTAACCTGTACTGGAGAGAGCATGTGTAAAAAAGCAGGAAATAAAAAAAGGAACTCACCTTGTGGTAAACCCGCAAGAGAAAAAGCATTTGGGCTCCATACTGTTTCATAAATAATCCTTGATGTGGTTTGGAACATGATATGGAATTGAATCACGGCAGCATTTAGCTGTATCTGCCGGTAGAAGGACCCAGATCAGCCATTCTCTAACAGGGCTGAAATAGAGGGATGTCTAAAATGCATGATCTGTTTGGTATTCTGAGCAATACATATCATAGACATGTTTTTATATATTTTCATATATCTGAGACCCATAATATATGCCTAAAAATAGCATGATATGTCTTTAAGACCTTTGAAGACCACTCATATCCGTAATAAAGAATGTATGACCACCGGTCCGATACTGGCCAAATTCACTGGATCAGATATCGGAGAAAAAGAGATGCATTTGCCTAAACTATCTCTCAAAAAATGTAATCAAGGTAAAAGGTTGCATTGAGTTTTGCTATCGTACATACGTAGATTTGAACTTTTGCAGATATTCATACCCAACATTTCATTCGATTTTTGTACAAGTGCTGAGCAAAACAAATCTTGCTTACATTTCTGTGTAATTAAAAAATAAATAAATACAAGTATGGTAATTGTTTTTAAACCACCTAATTTGTTCAATAGTGCAGAAAAAACCTTTCATTTGGCATGTTTTGATATTATGCCCTGAATAAGATAATCTTAAGAAATTGTTGTCTGCCAGATCTATCATATTTCTCTTCCCATTTTTGATGTAGTAAGGTGTTTGTGTGCCCCAAGCAAGGTAGGATTTAAGAGAAATATGCAGGAATATAAGACGATAAAGAGAGAGTTAGAAGTTGTAAACTTATGGAAAGAAGTAAATATCTACAGCATTCTTAGTTATTTATGATATTAGACAGAGGTGATGAGGGACATTGGACCTTCAATTATTTATTTTTGCCTTGAACGAAGATTTATTAGGTTTATTTGGGACTGCTTAGTTTACAAACAGGGCCCAGACATCTTCAGAATTAAATCTGTTTTGCAGACGTTTGTGTTTAGTTTAAATTAAGGGAGAATCAGTTTAAAAAGAGATTTAAAAAAAATAAGAAAAATGTTAAACTAATCTTAACTTTGACAATAATTGCTCACATTGTGTGTTCTTGGAACACAAAATCCCCAAATGCTTCCACTGATTTTACTACATTTGACTGTATATGTAAACACAGAACAATGTCAACTTAACTCTCGTTCGTCACTTCTTAAAACTAAATGTCATGTTAAGTTCTCACACAAACATTAAAAATGTATATCAAAAATCTCTGGTTTATGATCAACTCTGATCATCATGCATCATCATGCAACAATTAAGTTTACATAAATATCACATTTAAATACCTGACATTAAAAATATATTGTAATATTATTTCCGGTCAGTTGTTATGGGGCTGACTATTTGTGCATCTCACAGTTTGCTTGTTGGTGGTATAAAGCCATCTCACTGACCCTATCACATTTTATTATGTAGCATGTCTCATCTGTGGAGTGTCTCGATTGCAGCTGTAAACAAACCCGGATGGCAGGCAATACACGCTATATTTCCTCTTTCCAGGCTTACCAAAATCCGCCGGAAGCATTGGCCAGGCAATACAACACCACTAATTACACCGATCCCAGACTGGGCCTTGAAATTCCCTTGTTGCTTGGGAGAATATCTCTGGGTCAAAGCCAGACATTTTCACCCATGATGTAGACCATCTGCTGTTCTTTTATAGAGCCTTTATTGCTAAAAACTCTCTTTATCCATATTTAGAAACCGATATTCATCTGAGTTCAATCTTAATTGTGAGTTTGATGCCTTGATCTTATGTAAGTTAGTCATGCAGATATTATGTTTTTCAGTTTATTTACACACTGTCCAGGATCAATATCTTCCCAGTCTGCTCTGTGTCAGTCTCTCTGAGGTCGTTTTTCTTGTGGGGTTGACAATAACTTGTGGACAGACTAACTCACTCCGCCAGATCTCTGCGACTTGTGGCCAGTGACCTGTGGTCCGCTTACCCTACCGCAGGCGGGCTCACTCACATAAACATAACACGAGGTAAATAAGGAAGGACACACATGCACACTTGCAAATGCTCATTTTGCATAGTTTCTTTTGTGTTGGAGGGAACAATTGCAGGGCTTGACCGTCTGACACAGCCACACTGTTTTCATAAAAGAAAGAATTCACATCAGATGCTTTTTCCATTTAGATTTTTTTTAATACATTTTGCATTCGTCCTATAGCTCTGTTTTGGGTTCTACTCCTGCCTGCGGCACCTCCTGAAAAAGAAAATGTCGTAAGTTAAATACAGCTGAGAGGATAAATATGTTCAACATACGTGCACTTATGTAGCGTTTCATAGACATGAGTGAATTTGTCTGGAAGAATGCTCACAGAAATGCTTTCCTTAGGGAATTAGCTTCTTCTATGCTAACCATTTTGCTGCTTTTTAAGAAATTGTTTCATTTATTTTATTTCATTTATTTTTGACTCTGCTTGACTTTTATCTGTCAGGAATTGTCAGTAGAATATAACATTCAATGCTTTAACAAGAAAGAGTAATGGGAAAACACAAAAGTCTAAAGAAAGAAGGCTTTGTAAGCTGACAGTTTTATTTTGATACTTTGATACTGACCATATACCTGATAATCACACATGGCATCACTAGACACACAAATGCCCACAACACAACAAAATGTGACAAATAAAACACACATACTAAAGAAACAGATGTGCATGCAGATCCTGTTGGAAAAGATGTCCGTGCTAAGGCCAATCAGACTGAACAGAGACTTTTAGAACAGAAAGATAAAGATGGAGTACGACTTTAGAGAGAGATAAATGTGGAACTAGTGACACACACATGGACCAATAGATGGTCAGTCAGTGGCAACTTTTAGTTCTTAACTGACATTTCCTCCGTCTAGTCACATGTTACTTGACCAGCACATTGATTTTAATGTTCCAGCCACAAGGCACTTATTTTAGTAAAGATGATGACAAAAATGCCACCTTTTCACAGATTTTGGGACGATTAAGCATTTGCCCTCACTATAATGTTCAATAACTGTGGAACATATTTGTAGACTGTTTTGTCCCACTGTTCAACTTCCTGTATCCAAGAAGAGAGCGCAGCACTTCTTCTGCAGGCTCTTTAAGCCATGTTGCTGTTCTTTTCATGTATTGTCTTGTAGCATGTAGTAAACATAATACATATGTTTACATTAAAAGCAGATCATTTTAATTGTATGTTTTATAATATTTTCTCAGGTTTTTTTGTTATAATTGTTTCTCTTCTTTAAAACCATAGTGCAAGTCCGCAAATACTGAGATATGATATGGTATAATAATTGACTCCAAAACAATGATTATATAATTCACAATACTTTTACCCTACACAAAGTTAGTAATAATAAATGAATGATATGCTGACTGTGTCTAAAAGGTATGAGAGTGGAAAAAATGTGATCAATGTCAACATGTGTTTTTTGTCAAGAGGATGTTTTCAAGGCCTTTACTTCAGGAAATACCAGAAAGCTAAGATTGTCAAAGGCCTGTAGAGCTTCAGACTGTGTGACACCCAGCTGCAGCTCAGTGTGGTGTAGCAGTGAGGTTTCCTGTCTGTGGTGTGGTGTCTATACTTTACAGCACCACTATCACTTACCTTTCAGCCACTTCTTCGAACATGACAAGTGAACAAGCGCTCCTGTTCTGTCTCATCTTTCTACCTTAAATCACTAAACTCAGTTGCTCTTTTCTGCATTCAATTGTTAAAAGATCACAAGTCGTCCCAGCACATTGAGCTACATTTGAATCCTGAACGTCTTATAATGTTACCAGCAGCAATGACTCATTTTAGGTAAGCCATGTTGACTGCTCACCTTCAGTTCCCCTCGTAGGAAGGACTGGCAGAACTCCTGCACTCGCTCCGTAGTGATTTTCCCCTCAGGCAGGAGCCACTTCATGTCAGAGTCACCGTCATACAACCCAACTCGAGGGAGGTCCTTAGACTTGAGGCCGAAGTAGCCCAATGACCGGGAGTTGGACTTCACTGCTCCATTTATCAGAACAAACAATAGCTGGAACACAAATGTAATAATTTAATAAAGCTCATTATAAATGATATTAAAGTTATATTCTCCCGGTTAGGATTACTTAAAGGTCACCTATTATGCAAAATCCACTTTTTCATGTCTTTTATACATCACCATGTGTCCCCTCTGTGTAAAGAGATTCTGAAAGTTTCAGGAAAAAAGATTCTCTCTCTTTTTGTCCTGATCCATTTCTATAAAAACCTGTCTGAAAATGAGCTGATCAGATTTTGGACACTTTATGATGTCATAACGTTTTTTTGGCTTGTGTAACCCCCCCCCCACCTTATCACCTGAATCTCCTCCTTTGAGCACCATTGTGTTCTTTTTAACCAAATATCTCTCAGAGGGGCGTTGGGAGTGGCTCCTTATTTTCATCTAAAGTCAAACGCAGAGAATCAGCACTTTTGAAACAGGGCTGAAACAGAGGGGTTTTGATACGAAAAATAGCACAATAGGAGACCTTTAAGTAACCGCAAAAATCATACTTATACTTTAAGTCTATAAGATCAGTTTGTTATTTTTAAAATCATTACTTTTCAGGTGACAATAATATCCTCACCTTGGATGTGAACTGAGGGGCGAGAGCTGCCAGTCGCTCCTTCAGCTTAGTGTATTCTTTACTCTCCCTGTTGGCAAAGAGCAGGAGGTGCACCTTCACCTCCGAGTTAAACAGACCCACCGCAGTCTGAGGAGAGAGACAGCAGCGTTATATTCTGACCAACCCTGATCTGCTGTTTCATAGCCCGGTTAGCTCATAGGCCTTTGTTATGTGGTCTGCCAAGTACAAATTATAAAGTAATTTAGTTTTTGTTTTGTTATTTATTCATATGTTTTAATCATTTATTTTGGTTGTACATTGTAATATTAATGTAGCCTATTCATTTATCTGACACATTTAAACCTAGGACTTGACTTGAACATTGCTGAGTAATAACCACCCAACCTTTTTTAAACAAGTACAAATAAAGTGCTGGTTAAACATTGACACATCATTGACTCATCAAGAATAGTGATAAAGCAGAGGTCAGTGAGATACGATGAAATAACACTGACTTTCTGCTGCTCATGGTGTAATTTTACTTTTGAAACTTTAAAAATATTTTGTTGCTAATACTTCTTAGTTTTAATAGACGCAGGAATGTTACTTGTAGTATTTCTGAAGTATGGTATTGCTACTTTTACTTATTTAAAATATCTTTGGTTGATTAGAGGGAAGTTGCTTTTTGTCTTTTATTCATTTTGCATTTGTCTTAAATTAAAATGTAATTCATGACGAAAGAATTAAAGCTTTAGAGGTCAGATTACAGGAAATAATTAATAGTTTTTGAGACAGAGGCACACTGCAACAGAAAGAAAAGTTGGACTATACCACTTGGTTGTATTCTGTGATGTATCGGACCTCGTTGATGGTGATGAAGTTTACAAGGCCATCAGTTTCTACCTTCTTGGCATCGTCAAAGCTAAGGTTCTCCTGGTGGTTATCTGCCTGGATCACATAACACATCAACATTGTTAAACTGACATCATTTATTGTTGAAAAGATGCCTCAAGTAATACAATTAAATAAATACCTTTCTGAAAAGTGTGATGGTGCCGGAGGAGAGGCTGTAGTCCGCCCACACCTCTTTCTCAGTGACGATGGCGAATGACACAGAGTCGACTCGCTTTGCAGCTGCAACGAGTTCCTGATAGCCGTGACTCTCTTCTCCCTGAGACACAAGAGAACCGAGTCAGTGTTACATCTCGTCTTTTCATTACCTTCTTTTACTTTAATCTATGTTTATTTCTGTTTTTCTTTCATTATCGTCTGCTATGTAGTAACTTTGATACAATTTCTTGTCTTTTTTTAACATTTGTAGGACATTAAAAAGATGCTTTAACATTCAACATTTGTTTTCCATTGGTATATATTTATAGTTTATTAACACATGTTGGCCAATGCAATTCTTACCAAACAAGTGGGCATGACATGTTACATTAGAAATGTTATATCTTTAAAATTACAAAACAAGTATAATTACTTTTTATTTGTTATGACCATCTTTACTTTTTTTCAATTTTTAACAAACCGCTTTTGATTCCTGCTATGAGATAATTATTATTATTATACATATGGTATCCCTACCATATTTGAGTTGTGATGCATTGTTTCTCCTTAAAATTACTTTCATTAAAGACCACCAGTAGGTATACAAGAACATTCTCCTGTTACCATCCTGTTCCTCGAATACAATTTGAAAAAAGTGAAGCGAGCATAGAGAAAGTCAGAGATGAAACAACAAACAGAACTTGCAGGAGGAGAGAGCTGACTCAAAGAGAGGTGAATCATGTCTATTTTTGAGACAGCATTCAGAGCTCTGGCTATCCCTTTTATTATTTTGCAGCCTGTAATATGTGTTCTTTCCTAGTTACAGCTACAGCACCAATATTTTGGTTTCTTTTGACCTTCAGCATCATGGTTCAACTATGATTTATCCTCATGTGCTGTCTTATATTCTCCTCTGTTGGACTTTCTCTCTGTGTTTGTTGACAGGAGGGTCAATGGAGCCAATCCCACAAGCCTTCAGATATTCAGATACGTGTGGCTTTCCTGTCAAGTGGCCGGCGATCTTCCCCCGCACACAGAGTCTGCCCAAAGGGCTGGCCTCTGTGGGACAGCAGCCACTCTCGCTCCTCGCAGCATCAGCTATGCCAAAGGTGTGGCCACATGAAGAGTAGGCTACTCGTCATCCAAATCTATTTGTGGCAGCAGCATCACCAGCACTAGGCTGCAAAGAGCTGCATTTTTGGAGCTCTCTGCTAATTTGTCTCATCATGACCGGTTTTCCGCATGCATAATAAACAAAGCCATAAAACAGACTCTCTGGGCTTCAAAGATGTCTGAAAGCTGATTTGAGCAGACTGTTTTATTCTTCTGTATGTGCAATTATCATGTCTGACCTCCAGGAACCCGATGACCACCACTTCCGCAGAGTCGATGAACGCCTCGACAGCTTTGGTGTCACTCAGTCTGGGCAGGGCACTGTCTGAGAAAGAAAGACAGGAGACACACTATTTAACGTATTTGAAATGTACGGTCCTAGTAATTGTTTCAACAATATAGCAAGAGTACAGCCACTATAGGCTGAATGCTAACAGCAGCATGCTAACATCCTCACACATTACCGTTGATTTCCTACATTTCGGGCATTTTGTAAACAAATATTTCACATTTTATTTGATCATGTTAGTAAGCTAACATTTGCTAACACAAACTATAGACAAAGTACTGTTTGAAATCAGTTTGCAGATGAGCAAACTTTATCCAATAATCTGAAATGTCAGAAATGTGACTTTTCTGATGGGGGTAAAGGGCAGAGTTGGGAAGTAGTGGGGTACTACACTTTGTTACTGTACTTTCTGAGGAAGAGATAGAGTCACCCTAGAATCTACAATGTAGGCGTTTATTTCCCCACTTTGTTTGTCTTTGCTTGTGTTCTAAATAGTTGTTGTTCAGTGTTGAAACATTCATTAGCTAACAATGACATAATTACAATTTGAAATAGAAGATTTGTAATGTTCTATTAATATAAAGTGAGGTCCAGTTACCAGTTACTCTATGAAACAGCTGGTAGTTAGGGTCCTTTTTACTTAAGTACATTTCGAAGCCCATACTTTTTTACTTTTACTTGAGTAAATAAGTTTAGTCAGCACTTTTACCAGAGTATTTTTAAACTTGAGTATCTGTACTTCTACTTGAGTAAAGGATGTGTGTACTTTTGCCATCTCTGCTGAAGGGATAGTCCGGGGAACCTAGAAGGATTCATCGTCTGAGAATATGGGCATTAGAACATATCTTGTGTCAATCAAACGTTTTAAGATACTTATATATTTTATGGTGGTACTACAGGACATGTTAGGATTCAATCTCTGGGGACCATGCTTGTCTGCAATTTATTTCAATCTATGTTGTTCCTTATATTTTACAAAAATGGGGTAGAGACAGGGTCACTAAAATGATTTTGATTCTTCCTCCAGGAACTATTAGGTCCAGATCTAAACAATTGTACAACATTTATTAACAAGTTTAAGTGGTGAAAGACTGCCCCAACATCTAAAAATGTACAGAGTTTCAACATGTTGAGGAACAAATAATGTAAGAAGTGAGAAAAACTCTGGAATAAAACCAAGAAGAAACTGATTACTTAAATGAGTTTACCTTTCTCTGTGCCAACGACAGACGACACCAGGAGGGAGAGAAACAGAATGATAAGCATGTTTCTAAAGATCTGACTGACGGGAAGGCAGAAATAAAAGTCCAAAAGACTTTGTAGCTGTTTGACTTTGTACTAGGAGTCGTTTCACCTCTGCTGTGTCTCTCACGCTCGCCACTTGTCAGCCGGCAGAGGCTGGTGCAACTTCTCTGGGATGTGATTGGAGACTCAATGGGAACCAGCCAGGTGCTGTTGATATGAGCAGGGGTGGCGGGGTGTTTTACTACGTGTCACTGTGGGACAGGTGTAAGTGTGTGTCTACACTCTGGTGTGGCGGTAATCTGAGGGTTGAGAGGGTCAACATTGAACCCATTTGACCTCCGCTTTTGTGAAACATACAACTCCTTTTTTGTTGTATCTTGTTTTGCTTAACACATTTTCCATTGTGCTGCTGTGCATTACATAAATCTATAGGCTGGATAACATGCAGGCTGCAGATATACAGTGAGGAGGCCAGGGAAGGACCAGCCAATGGGATGCATGTTGCTACATTCACCACAGGAGGGACACAACTCCTAGACATCCTGTTATTTTCAATGCGCACAGGGAAGTTTGTTTACCTAAATGTGTGATGAGTTAAGAATATAGCATTTGGAGAGACAATGACAACTTTTTTTTTCTTGTTACTATCATGAACAATTATTTTACCTTCTTCTAAAGCATCTTTAAGTACATGTCCATGGGTAATATAAAACAGATGTATTACTATTTTCATTTTCTTTATATATAGAATAGTTTTATAATCAAAAGGGTTTCCTAAATTCAGTAAGTGTAAAGCAAGACAACTGAGAAATGTCTATGTTTTCCTAATGCCATATGAATAAGACATTTAATATAAATGTAAAGTGTTGTGTCACAATGATGTTCAATACATTAAATTGGCTATAAATACCATGCATTGTTGCAAGGAACATATTTGATCATCAATAACATTTCATATACTCTCAATCATAATCATACAAATGTCCTCCCTCTGCAAGCAATTATCTCACAAATTCATAAAAATAAAATAAAGCTCTATTGGTCATATTGACCCATGCTGTTGTAACCACGGAACCATAAACAATAATAGAAAAACAACCATTGAATGTAAAACTGTGGGCCAAGAAAATAAATATACAGCATTCTTTCTCACATAACTTAGCAAGAAAAAAATCCCACAAACGTACAGCAGCTCCCACACCACCACAGACATGTTGTTTTATGTGGAAATGTTAAAAAACTAAAAGGCTCTCACATATAGATACATTTATGTGTAACAATCCCCTAAAAAGTATTAAAGTATTACAATAATTTATATGAAGTTTGATGTTTTACTCTGTGATTTTAAACTTTCTCTAGTGCTCTCAATACAATAAATCCACATTTAATAAGAAAAAGAAAAAGATATTTGGATTGAGAAATAGAGAATAAAAAGCCCCCCAAATGCTGCTCTACATGTAAAATATCACATGTTGCAAGGGGATAAGAGCAATAATGAAAACTTGTATTTCATCGCAATATTAGCAAATGTTCCCTCAGTCAAAAACATGTTCATATTTGTTCGGGCTAAAAGGCAACACTAATACGTCATTGACTTATTGATATTAATATTCCTATTGTCGATGAAACTGAAATGTAAAACCTTTTTAGTGTTTATTACGGTCACTACTTACTTCACAATTATTTCCTTGGTACCCTATATTTATAACATGTTTACATAGAAAGTTGTGGGCGGTAAGGTAAATCATTATCGAATGAGGTAATGAAAGAATATTCTGTAACACTGGAGATATAATGTAAAAGGAATGACAAAATCGTTTAGTATTTTTTAGCGGGGAAGATCTTTGTCCAACTGACCAAGAGAAGATTCGGTTTAAGTAAAAATGACAGGCCAATGACAGGTTGCTCATATGGTTGGAGTTGCAAATAAACAAAGCAAAAGTGCTGATTACAATACAAGCAATGGCAGAAAAATAAATGTGGTGAAAGCCAAAACAAAAGGAATAGGCATTGAACATTAAATATACATGACAACCCCTCTGTATTAGTTATAGCAATATTTAAAATCTAATTTAATAATAATTTAATTATCTTTATATTTTATTGTTCAAAGAAATATCAGAGCAATACCTGTGTTTCTACTCATGAAATTGTGACAGATGCTTAGATGTTTGATGGTGACATCAGTGATGTAGGTAAACATGAGGCTTGGGGATTACTGGCTTCAGAGTGTTGCCAGGTTAAAGCTGTCACGTCTCCATCAACCATTACACAACCATTAACCCTGTTAGGCTTTGACTCAACCTCTTCGTGTAAAGGACTTAAATGACAGTAATTAATGCATGATCATATTTCAACACTTTTTTCCCTCTTATTCTAAATGAAAATAATAGCCCGGTTGGCAACAACACCCTGTATGAGTGCATGTTTCTGTTGCTTTTAGCATACAACTTTAGATCAAGATCAAAATAGCAGGATAGTGATGAAACTCACATGCAGCACTATAGATGCTATGTGTGTCTGCATTGACCCTTATGGACAAGTCCCAATCCTATTACAGCCTGTAAACTGGCAGCCTGTCAGGCCTCAGAGTGAAGAGTTGAACCTTCGTGTCAGAGCAAACAGCTAAGTGGACAGAAACCATGACAGTGCCTGACAGGCTTCACCTGAGGTATGAGGCAATCAGCCTCTCGAGTTCTTTTTTGTTTTTCTTGTGTCTGTGTCTGTGACCTGCTGCTGGGATTTAAGGAGGAATAAGATGTTAGTCTACATGTTGTAATCACAAGCACATGGGCTTTGCAGATCAACTCTCTCCTTCTAGGAACTGTATTTTAATACACTCATGCCATAGTTTGTGGGCGATTTCTGGACCCATAGGTTGCCATTTAGGGAAAGATTTGGTTTATGGTCAGCAGTATAATGAAACTACACTGCAGTACACACGCACACTTTAAAACATGTGAAATGTTTAGCATAATTATTTCTTTAAGCTTCAAATGTAAGATTGATAAACTGCAGTTGCTGGTGTCTGAGGCAAATGTTGATAATCCCTGTTACTTCATTGTATGTCCAAATATATTAAGTTATCTTTTCTGCCAAGAGTGTGTCATCTCACACACATATGTATCTTTTTCTCTTTAAAGCCCATCAGAGACCCTCTGGCTTTTTTCTTATCTGCTTTCTGAATACAGTTAAATAATTTACACATGGTAAATTAAATTAGAGAAGCATGTGATTCCTGTGACTTTGCAAAGTCTAATCCTACAGCCACAGAGTATAAATAGACCCAAGAGGATATTTTTACTCCAGTTACTAAATACATTCAGGGTTTGCTGAGTTAAAATAAAAATACAAACCATATCATAAGATATTTATCTTCTCTTCTGACTTTTTTCATGCCACACCCACCACAGTAACTCCTATTCCTCTCAGTAACCAGCAGGTGACAATCATGTTTCAACAGAAAATAACCTGCGATTTAAAGGAAAAGCCAGACTGCTCTCGCCTCTGACAGATAATCTCATTTTCAGTGGACAGACCAACAACAACACAACACAACATATCTTACACAACAGTCTTTAGACAGCTTGCTTAAAGGCATGTTTGTCTTTCGTCCAATATAATCATTTATTAATCAGGCATTTTATGTGCGATGATTATTTGTAATGTGCATATTTTTTATATACATTCAAAAATATCAAAGCTATATTGAGAGGACTCCTTCCCTCTGCTCATCAGTGTTTTTTTGAGACATGATCTTGAGATGCTTGAGATATGTTTGTTCACTTGTGTTGGAGTTTTCTTTTCTTGCACAATCTGTAGGGACTAGGGAGCCTTTCATTTCCTGACCTGCCTGGCCTGTTAAGCCCCACTGTTTGTTTTTTTCAGGACACTGTGTCTCAGGGGATCTTAATATTTAAGAACCTATTAATGTGTTATACCAGATTAACGGAAATAATCTCAGCTAATTGACGATATAAACCATTCTTACCAAAACACAAGTCTCATAAGAAGCATCTAAATGACCCCTTAGCGAAAAATGCTAACGGACATTGGCACAGAACTCAAGATAAAAGTACCCTAAATTATTACTTATCGTAGCTGCACATACAAGATCTCCGATTAAAACTGAGGTTCCACAGATTATTTAGGTATATAGTATCATCACTGAGTGATCCGAATTTGCGACAGGGGAAGCAAAGACAGACATCACAACACGTACCTTTACGTAGCTTCTAGGGAGATCGTCTCACCGTAGCTGTTAATCTGATCAAAAGACGTGTTCAATGGCATTAAAACGAGAAAAAACGCGGCTGAATCGGTTAATCCATAGGTTGATAAAGTTTCTGGGCAATAATTTGAATTATTTATAATCCATAATTCCATTTTTATGTAAAAATCGCAGAGCAAAAGTTAGCTGCTAATGGTAGCCACCAGAGTGGCTGCTGCTTCCGGTCTTGGCAATGCAGCAGTATAATACACACACATGACCAAATAAGGACTATGTGGGAGTTCCCCTCGATTCCATTGGCTCTAGAAAGAGATGTCACATGTCAAAATCCAGCAGGGGGAGCCAGAGATATAAAAAAATCCACCTAAATGGCCCCAGAAAAGTTTTTTTTGTGCTAAATCTGTCTAAAAATGTCAAATATTACTTGTTTTGCATCAATCTTGATACAGGGTACTTATTATATGTCGTACTTTGGATTCCTAAAGCTTTTAGTCTACTAACCCATCATCCAAGGTTAGTTTTCACTATAAATACAAAATATTTTTTGGACGGACACTATAATTTACAGTTTTTTACCATGTTCAATCTGAATTTTCTTTAAAATAAAAAACATCTATATTGAATCTGACTTTTCTACATCGTACTGACAGGTTTATCATTACTTTGAGAAAAAAGATTATTAATGTAACCCTTTTAGAAGGGAAGATATGGTCATTTGTTCTGGGAATGTCATTTCCGAGCCTGAAACCTGAAAAACAGGCTCGGGGTTTAACAGGTTAAAAAGTGACGCATACAGCTGGGACGGAGCGCTCGGTGACGTGCAGGATTATAAAACCGTTTGTCCTGTAGCTTGTGTTTGTACCTGAACTCATCACTCGCTCAGCGCTGGAGGTATTTTTGCTGCATCATCTGGAGTTTAGCTCAGTTAGTAAAGCCCCTCCAGACTCTAATCCTGAGTGAGGCACTTTAATACCCCGCTGCATGAGGCTTACCACAAACACATGGGGCTTGTTCCACCGCCACTCTGTGACCAACGTTTTGAGCGACTTTGAAGGCAACATAGTCGGCTCGGCTTCTCCGTTTTTTCCCCCGATGCTCCGTAATGAGCATCTTTATGTCACAAACAATTACAGGACTTATTTGAGGCATCTAGCCGCGGACTGTCAAAAACATATTCATGTCAAGAAGCAGTTTCTGCAGCCATATTCCACAAACAAAGAAAGACTCACATTGCTCGGGTATTTTGCAAAAATATGTCCAAATCCACTTTTTAGTTGTTTACGACAGCTATTTACTTTCATCAGACTGAATATGCCAAACTTCCTGCATGTCATATCTGACAAATGTGTCTCCACTGCAATTCACCATTAAAACTTTTAGCCTCAAGCAAACTTTTTCTCTACATTTTAATTCAAATCTTCCATTCAGCATTTCCTTTTCAACTCGTCATCATTTGCATACAAGTACCAGCACAACAACCTGGCTACTGTCATCCAGCCCGACTGAGTGTGAGCAAAACAAAACTGCGTCAACTCATCAGGAATCATTCAAAAAAAGAATAATCCATAATGAAAGGAACGGAGTAAACAAGGAAGTGTGTGCAATTATGTGAAGATGCTGCAGGGGATGAACAGGAGAAACAAGGAGGGTCTCGTGTTTGTGTTCATGGAGGGAAAAGATGAAGAATCACTACTTTGTATCACTCTGCAAATCCAATCCCAATCCAATCCATTTTATTTCTATAGCACATTTAAAAACAACAGAGTTGAACAAAGTGCTGTACATCAACAACTATAGACATAAAGACATGAAAAACAGACAGAACATGAAACAAATGTAAAACACGAGACAATGAAACCAGATCAGAAGCCACAGACTGAAAAACTCTCCTACATGACGTAAAAACAATACAAGATAAAAACCCAAATTTAAAAGCACAAGTGTCCCCTGGTCTGTAAAAGCCAGGGAAAGAAGTGGGTTTTTAAACAAGATTTAAAAACAGGCAGAGTTGGAGCAAGTCCAACCTTGAGGGGTAATTAGTTCCATAACTTGCACTTCCAAATGCACCTTTTACCTCACATTGTCTAATATACAGGCTTCTTACGGTCATTAAAAACCTGGAAAAGTCATGGAAATTCAAAATGCTAATCCCAGGCCCTGGAAAAGTTTTGGAAAACAATATTTTTCCCAACGTTTTGGAAAAGTTATGGAAATGTAACTAAAGTTGCATCAAATATAATTTATATTTTATTTAATCTCCGAAATAGTAATACTTTAACGATAATAAATACTGTATCGTACTGTATAGTAATGAAACGTGAAATGGCATTTAACTGTTTTGCTGGTGATAGATTTTAGTTGCTTAAGCGTGAAGCTAGTAAGCCTATTTAATTTGTTTTAGATAGGCACAACATGTTTCATATGCAAACCTTATTTTCCTGTTCCATGTTAAAATAAACCGTTTTCAGTGGTACGCTGAGAAGGAGTCATTTTTTTGGTCATGGAAAATTAGGCAAAGGTCCTGGAGAAGTCATTGAAAATCATTGGTGAAAAAGTGTATTAATCAGATTAAACTGGCTTCATAACATCCTGCTTGGTTCCTGATGAACAAATGCACGTGTTCATGGCAGTATTCATGGTGATTATTAGTTTGCATGAGTTCTGGTCCAGTGTATTAATCTGATCTGCATTTTATTTTTCATTGTTGTATAGAAATGACAATAAATGGAGGAGGAGGATGGGACAGGACATTCTTCTTGAATTAACTAACTATCATAAACTAACTAACTTTATTGAATTGTTCGACGTTTGGACCAAACAGGGGTTCAGAGTTACTTAACTGTGATATTTTCTGGTAGCTTTGTTAAAAAATGGCCTTAAATCGGATCTTTTCAGGACAGAGTTACCTCCGTTAACCCGGTAACTCTGTCTGCAGGTTTATCACAGCATGAGCTGGATCTATAATCTGCTTGTAATGCAGCAGCATGCTCCTCCACTAAAGTGTTACCAAAAACACTTTCTCAGACTTCTCAGAGAAAGTTTAGCCGGAGCTCCTGAGCAGGCAGAGCTAATTGGACGGATGCAGCTTAATCAGGACAACAGCGCTATTGAGGACAAGGCTTTTCCATGCAAAGCAGACAACAGGATGCTGAAGGGGAACAGGAAACCAAAGATGGAGCCAGTACTGCTCGTTCTAACAAGGTGATGAGCGGCCTCGGGACAGGAACGTGGCTCTGTTAAGTCTAGCACACACTCACAGGGTTGAAGAGGTATTCAGATGCTTTATTTAATTAAAAATACCAACACTTTAGTGAAGAAATACTAAAACGAAATACACAGTAAACTGAATTCATAATATCACTCAGGAAAAGTGATTATTATTAAATAAATGTTCAAAAGTAGAAGTAGGCTACTCAAGGTCATTTCTCCCCACTTGTTTTCATTCAGTGAATAATTCTACTTTTGTACCTCCAATCATTATTCCATTAGTTTATGCTTGAAGCGTATCACTTTTAAAAAATGCAAAATCCTTATATGAAAAGTAACTAAGCTGTTAATTAAAGTTAAAAACATTATTTCGCTTTTCGATGTAGCTCACGAGAAGCAAGCACGTCAAAAGCTAACGTTGGCTTCTATGTGTGACATTTACAAGCTTATTTAAGCTACCGTAGATAAATGACATGTCTAAGGCTAACGTTAGAGAAAACATCATCACTCATCCACACATTTTAGCTGAGTAGTTGTACACACATAGTAACAAGCTAACGTTAGCTACTGCATGTTAAGTAACATAGACCCTCCAGAAAAACGCGATCCTGCGATCGCAGAATTTACTGCATAATCAGCAAAATGGCGCAGATTTTTAAAAGGCCGCATATTTATCAAAAGGCCGCATAATCCCCGCATTTTTCCACACAAAGTTGAGAAAAAAAAAAGTTAACTCGTCTTGACGTGAAGTAGTGATGATGATGATGATGATGATGACGTGATCAGCTCACGCATCACAAAAGGTAAACAACACCGTAGAGTGAACGTGTGGAACTCACACGACGAACATTTCTGCTAAAGACCGGGCAAAGCAGTACCCCGATGTCTTTCACGAAAGTGGGGGGAAACTATTCTGCACCCTGTGCAACTGTGTGTTGGAGCATACGTCTTAGAGAAAATCGACGGTGACGACCCACTTTGATTCATTAAAACATTCGAAAATGCTTTCTGCTGCTGCGGACAAGAAAGCCAAACAACTCACGTTCACCGAGGCATCAACCTCCAAAACCCTTTAGAGGGCAACAAGAAACGAAGTGAGTAGCCTACAAGATTGAAGCTGGTCAGATAACGAACGAGTAAATGAAAACAGAATGAGGCGGAGAAGTGTGTGTGTGTGTGTGTGTGTGTGTGTGTGTGTGTGTGTGTGTGTGTGTGAGAGAGAGAGAGAGTGTGATTAAAATAACCCCATTGCTTTTACAATAAATAAACATTGAATGTGTTTAATTGAATAGGAAAGGGGTTTAACGTTAGTGGCAGGTTGTGTGTGAGAGAGAATAAATAAGACAGCCCAATATTTAAAAAAAAATCTATTCTTTTTCGCAACTTTCTGCATATTTCACCGCATAAAATCACATAAAAACCCCGCATGTTTAATCGCATAATCAAGGATTTTAGCCCGCGTTTTTCTGGAGGGTCTAGTAACAGTTCAAGCTAAAGCAAGCCTCTGTACATAAGTGACAGTCACAAGCTACTGTTAGTTATTTTATATAAGTGAAAGTTACAGGCTATCATTAGCTTCTGTACTGTACATAAGTAACAGTGAGAAGTTGACATGAGATTCTGTATAGGCCTACAAGTGTCTTAACCCTTGTGTTGTGTTCAAAAGCTGTTACCGTTCATGGTGCTCGTGTGACCCATGATTTATCTCAGTCCAAAACACACAAAAATAACGACTATCATCCAATATTGTTTTAACTACATCATAACTAACTTATAATGCATTCATAACTGTACAATCCTGTTGTTATTTAATGTTATGGCCCATAACACATCACACCACATATTGCACACGTGCATGTGTGTGTTCAGGTTCAAGTGTTAGTGTACATATTCTTTGAGAAAGGTTGAGTTCCTGTGGGGGGAGGGGGGCAGAGGGAGGGGAGACTAGGAGCATGTTCCGAAAAATTATTGTTACAGTGGATGAAGGGGGTGGGGGAGGGGTGTCTAA